ATCAACATGTTACAGGGGGCCACCCAGCGAATAAGTTGTGCAGTCTGGCACGAACTGAGGCAGGCAGACTCTAGGACCACCACACCAACCTCACAGAGCAGCCTGCCCACACCCAGGATAGCCGGGAGGAAGGTGGTGCACACAGAGTCTGCACGGGTGTGCATGCCACAATTGATGTCTGTCAGCAACAGGAAAATTACTAAATTGTTCTTATGTTGATGTGTTCTTAATTTAACTGTCTTAATTAGGGGTATTTCAGCACATCAGAGGAATTTTTTAAAAATAGCTTCAGAGGAAAGAAATGAAGTTGGCAACGTGTGTTCAGAACAGATAATTTTGATAGATTAAAACTTACAGACACAACAGAATGAAGAAACAACCTACAGAAAGAGGGAAAAAATTGCCAGCTATTGCTCAGACAGAGGACTAAATAAAGAACTCAAAGAAAAATTAGACTCCCAAAATACAAGACCCAATCAAAAAATGAGCAACCAAAATGAATAGACCCTTCTCAGAAGAAGTACAGGTGGCCAAAAATATAGGAAAAAGTGTCCAACATCTCTGGCCATTAGAGAAATGCAAATTAAAATGACACTGAGATACCATCTTACTCTAGAAAGAATGGCCATCATCAAGAAATAAAATAATAATGAATGCCTGCGAGGCTGTAAGGGAAAAAGAAATACTTCTACATTGTTGGTAGGAGTGTAAACTAGTACAACCACTATAGAGAGCAGTGGGGAGATTCCTCAAGAAACTAAAAATAGAAATTCCATTTGACCCAATATTCCCCTTTCAACATACTTTCTGAAAGAGTTAAAATCACATTACAGTGAAACCTGTGTACCCATGTTTATAGCAACACAGTTTATATAGCTAAATCTTGGAAACAGACTACATGCCCATCAACAGATAATGGATAAATAAAATGTGATATTATATACAATGGAGTATTACTGATGTAAAGAAGGATAAACTTGAGGCATTTGTAGGTGAATGGATGCAACTTGAACTCATAATGTTAAGTGAAATAAATCAGACAATTCCGAATATTACATGCTTTCTCTTATATGAGATGCAAATTATAAATAAAGAACAAAATAAAGGATAGATAAAAGGAAGTAGGGAGATCTTTTTTAAAAGGGAAGGTAACAAGAGATAGAGGGAAGGGAGGAAAGACAAAATGGATTTTTAAAAAGAGAGAATTGAAGAAAAATTAGAAACACAGCTTTTTCAAATGGGAAAGGGAACAAGAGTTGAAGGGAACAGGAATAGATGGGAAGGGAAAGGGACAAAAGGAATTGAAATGTGTTGTGTACATGTACTAACCCCCATGATAAGTGGAATCACTATGTACTGTAAACATGTCCTAATAAAAATGAAATATTAATAAAAATTCTCTTACCTACAGAAACCCTAGTTAAAAATGACACAATGAGTAACTTAGGGTCACTAGAGGTAAAATATGTCGAATAGAGGTTAGCTATTGTATGGCTAAGACTAATTCATAGTTGAAATTGGGGTCATGGAGTCTTTTGACCCATGAAGGATCTCTGAATTAGATGCAAACTGAAGGTGGAAATATTCTCAGAAGATGCCTAATTTAGCACAACATATGGGCTAAAGAGGTTGAGAGTCCTATCACAAAACAATGCCAACAAAAATGAAAATAACACATTCATTCTAAGAAATCTCAAAACCATTCAATTTCCAGACTGTGGGATGTATTTCCTTTTAAAAATTTCTTTCAAGCAGTATTTCTTTTTTTTTTTTTTTTTTGGTACCAGGGATCAAACTCAGGACCTTGCGATTGCGAGGCAGGTGGCAGAACCACTGAGCTACATCCCCGGCCCCTCTTTCAAGCAGTATTTCTTACATGAATCATTCTCTGTGTACAGTGGTAGCCAACAAACAGAACAATCATTGGTACAGTGTTAGCGTTAGTTTTACCGTGAGCAGTCTCAACACTTAACAAATTCATGTAAAAATGGAAGCAGTCTTCTTCATTTTGTGCATAGTATCATTAACATACAAACATGTTGCTAAATAGATCTTCTTTTGACCTGACTTTTCAATGAGCCTCTCATTTCCTTTCTTCCCATAGCAAGAAAACTCTTCAAAACAGATTTCTGCATTAGATATTTCAGTTCCCCTCACATTATCCCTGAATCTTCCCATAGGCAGGCTGTCTGTCCTATCTGATCAAAGTCACCAGTGACCTCCCATGTGTAAACCCAAGGGTCAACTTCTGGTCAACTGTTGGTCCTATGTTACTTGACTAGCAACAGTATTTGACATGGTTATTCTCTCTCTTTTACTTTTTTTTCTTGACGTGCTGTCTTTTCATGAACTTTTTAAACAGTTTTATTCAGATATAATTCACATACCATACAGTTCATCTATCAGAAGTGTACAAGTCAGTAGTTTCTGGTATATTCTCAAAGTTGTCCAACCATCATTACAATCAATTTTAGAACATTTTCATTGCCTTTCACTCAGTCATTCCCCAGTTCCCTTCAAAACTCTCAGCCCTAGGTAGCCACTAAGTTACTTTTTCTCTATAGTTTTGGCTATCTGGACATTATCATAATCATACATCTTTGGAACCACATGAAATATGATCTTTATGACTAGCGTCTTTCACAGAACATGATGCTCTCAAGGTTCATCTATGTTGTAGCATGCATCCGTAAATTCCTTTTGGTTATTAAGTCATATTCCATTGCATGTGTGTGACATGTTGAGTTTATCTATTCGTCAGCTAATAGGCATTTGAGTTGCTTCCACTTTCTGGCCATTATGAGTGACGCTGCAGTGAGTGTTCATGAATGAAATTTTCTGTGGCTGTGTTTTCATTTCTCATTAACACACAACTAGGAGTGGAACTGCTGGGTCATATGGTAACTCCATGTTCAACTTTTTGAAGAACTATCAAACCATTTTTCCAAAGCAGCTGAACCAGTTTAGATTTCCACCAGCAATACAGGAGTGTTCCCATTTCTTCACAGCCTTATCATAGTTGTTATTACCTTTTTTACTACAGGCACCCAACTGAGTATAAAACAGTATCTCACTATGGTTTTGACTTAGACTTCCCTGATAGCCAATGATGTTCAGCATCTTTTATATGGTGATTGGTTATTGATGTATGTTCTTTGAAAAACTACATAGATCCTTCACCTGTTTCTTCAATTCCATTCTTTGTATTGCTGAGTTGCCTACCTCCCTCTTTTTTATATATAATTTCTTCACCCGGCTGCATTATAGTTTAGATCTTAATTGTCCCCAACTGATGGCCCCACTGGGAGGTGATGGGACCTTTAAGGGGTGGAAGGAAGTCAGTCACTGGGGGTGGACCCTTGAAGGGGACATTGTTACCCCAACGCTGGCCTGCCTACCCCCCTCCCCCAGCTACCATGAGGTGAGCAGCTTTGGTCTGACACATGCTCTAAGCCATCATGTTCTGCCTCACTACTGGTCCAAAGTGACAAAGCCAAGTGATCATGGGCCACAATGAGCCAAAACAAATCTCTTATCCTTTCAGTTGATTATCTTAGGAATACTGTCCCACTGATACAGGGTGTTAGAATACCACACCCTCTCAGTTGTCCTTCTCCCTCATTTGTCCTTCCATGCCAGTCTTTCACTGGTTCCTTTCCTTCTCCTTGACTTTCTGAAGTTGGAGAGCCTCAGAGTTTCACCCTTCCAGTCTTCCTCTTTTTTACTTTCAACTGGTCTCATACTTTGTACCATATACATGCCTCCAACTCCCAAATGTCCATCACAGCAGGAGACCCCGCTAGTCAACAGCTTCAGACAATGGGTTGGGAAAGCATCCTCTGTCCCACTGGCCCAGTGTCTCCCACTCCCTACCAGATGTCACTGGCCCAGGAGAAGTCCATTCTGCCCCACAGGCAGTGCTAGTAGGGCCTAAGCAGGAAACTCAGGTACCAGAAGAACAAAGCAGACCAGAACAGTACTGAATGGTCTCTGAAAACTAATTATGCCTGAAATCACAGCCCACAAAAGCACCCATGACCTACACATCAAACCTACTTCTCTGGTAGTCTGGGTTCAGAGAGTCAGTATTTCCAGGAACGAGAATGCTATAAAAATATCTTTGCCATACCTATGTTCATTGCTGTGCTATTCATAATAGCCCAAAGTTGGAAGTAACCCAAATGTCCATCAGTAGACAAATGGATAAACAAAATGTGGTCTATACATAAATGGAATGTTATTCAGCCTTAAAAAAGAAAGAAACTCCTGGCACAGGCTCAACATGGATGAACTTCGAGGATATTATACTAAGCAAAATGTCAGTCACAAAAAGACAACTGTTGTAATAATTCCACTTCTATGACGTTCATAGAGTCATCAACTCACAGGAAGTAGAATGGTTGTTGCCAGGGTCTGGCCAGAAAGGGGAATGGGGATTAACTGACATAGAGTTTCAGTTTTGCAAGATGAAAAGATAGAAAGAATTCTAGAGGTGGAGATGGCTGCAAAATTGTGTCAATGTATTTAATGCCATTGGACAGCAAACTTAAAAACGATTAAAATGATACACTTCTGTTGTATATATTTTACCACAACTGGGTGAGGAGGAGGGAAGGGATGGGAAAAGAAAGGAAGTAAAAAGAATTAAGATGTGTTATATACATGTACCAACTTCCCACAATGAATGTAATCATGTACTGCAAACATATGCCAATAAAATTTAAATTTAAAAAAAAGAATCCTTGTCAATAAAAGCATTTGCAACTATTTTTATACTTATTCAATTGACGAGTATGGTGATGTGCATTGTAACAGGCACTGTTCTGCCTATTTTAAGGTAGGCAAATATTAATGTCAAAAAATTGATGTCATGGATTGGACAATAATTAGTAAATTAAAACTGAAGTTGTTTCTTAGGAAAATTATTCTTAAATCAGAAATTACCACAGAAACAATGACCTAAAATAATTTTCCCACTCCCTCGGAAAATAAAAACTCACCTGACCCAGATCCAAGGTGAGGTTGACCTGGCTGTACTTCTTGCCCAAGGAGAGAGGAGGGCTTTGCCACCAACGATTGGTGCCATCAATCGCGTTGGTGGCTGGATGCGCCTTCTCCGGGTCGCTGGAATTACAGATGTCACAGAACTGGCCCTGGGAATGAGAAAAAACAAGCCCTTTTAGAAATTTTCAAATAACTTTTTCTTAACAATGTAGCACAAGTGGTAACCAAACAAAGACTACTTTATAGAGTTTAGCCACGATGTCAGCTTTTGAAATTCATCAAAATGCCTTCTGAGGACAGTGGTAAGGCTCCCTTTTTTTATTTAATTTTAAATCACATCACCTCTTTATACCTCTGGAGATTGTGTTTCTGGAATACAGATTTATTTCTGTCCTTGACAGCTCTGCTTTCCTTGTCCCATACCACACTTTAAGAGCCCACTGTACTGGGGTGGAAAGACGTTTGCACCACAACAAATTCATTTCACTGTTGCAGCTCTGTGTGAGGCACTGGGGAACAAGAGGATCCCTGCCCATAGTCCCAGTGGAAGCCTTGGGTATACAAATACCCATCAGAGAAGTGGGAGTAGAGCAAATGGCTCTGCAGAGTAGAGTCTGCTGCATTCGAAGGCCATAGACATTCCAGGATGGAAGAGCTGCCTCTGAGGGTGGAGAAGACTGTGGTGAGAGCCAGGGAGCAGCAAGCAGGGAGACATGAGCAAAGGCATGGAGGCCAGTGGGTCCAGTCTGACTGAGTAGTGACAGACAAGTCTTGATGATTCAATGGAAGATGTTGCAAATACCAGAGCAAGAAGTCCAACATCATCTCAAAAGGCATCAGGAGATCATTTTTACCTGGGGTGATGTCTGTTTGATATTACAATCTCCAAGTCCTAGCTGAATTACTCTTATTTGGTTGGCAGATTCTTTTGATTCTGGTTTTATGTTTTGCTTTTTGCAATGCACAATTTTACAGCCAGTTACATCTAAGAAGCTGAACCTGGGCCTTTCTTCTATGAGTATATTTTAAAGGGAGTCAAAGGCTCGTGCTCACCCAGGGTTGAACTTCACACACCAAACTACTCTGCTCTCAAACTAAATTGTTATGGAGCATAGCTACCACATAGAAGAAGGACAAAGAAGCACACCTATACTCATAGCCTCCCCAGAAATGTGCTATGACAAAAGGCTATCTCTGCTTTTAGCCAGCATCTTACATGTAAAATTTTTGATTCTCAAAGATAAACTGATTCTGGTAGATAACCAAATATGCAAAACAAATGTTTTCATCTAGTATGCAACCGATGGCTCTTTCCCAAGTGGTGAGATATTTGTCCAGACCCTTAGCATTTGATACTGTCTGAAGACATTGCTAGGACTCAGAAGCAGCACTTCAGGGTCTGCAGCCCAACAATTCACGATGTTAGAGATTGGTGCTGCCTGCTCTCCACATTATCCCTCCAGCCCAGCACACTGCACAGAAGCTCAACACCTGGCAGAAGCTCAGTGAAGGAGCAACTGATCCCATGGACAAGTTTTTTTTTAAACATGGAATTCCTTCTATAAGTTTATTATTTTAACAAGGTACTTAATTAACAGTTTTTTAAGGTAAGACATCTAAACATTTATTTTTAGTATTGAAGCAGAACTTAAAGAAAAACAAGTCCCTCCCAGCCTTGGGCAGTTCCCTCCCCATCATCTCACTCTCCCCTGTAGCTGTAACTCCTTGTTCTGGTACACATAAGGCTAACAACTGTGTCCTGTGCACAAAGCTTATGACACTGTTCTTGTATGATTCATAAGACACTGTCTTCTTTCAAGGAAAAGTTACAAAACTGGCTACCCTTGTCCTTTTCTGGTAAACTCACTTGCTACATCACTATAAAAACCACCTTTGACAAAATGTATAAAAGCTGGAACTTCTCTTTGTTCAATGCTCAGCCATTTCAGACAGAGTCTGCCAAGCCGGTGTATACCTTAAACCTGAAATAAATCCTCCTGACTCCCATTTGCTCTCTCTTGTCCCTTGGAATTCTACAACAGTATTTTCCCTCCAGTGAGGTTTCACTTTTACCACTTCTTTCTATAGACCATCTTACCAGTTTAATTATTTGATGAGAGAATTAAGCTCTTATTCCTCAGAGTTTAGATTTATATTCGATTAAAGGCAACTTTCTTCCAAAAATGTTAAAGAAGATGACTTTTTTATCTTCTCAGAGTAGGATATGATGCTTTTTGCGTTATTCTAGTGATTCTTAATTCCAGCATAATAAGTTATTGAAATAAACATTTGTAGAGCACCTGTTTCACACTGGGCACCCTGCACTTAGACTTTCATGCTAAGAATATTCTTATCACCTCTCTTTCACAGCTGAGGAAACAGAGTGGGGAGGTTAAGTAATTTTCCCAAGAACCACACACTGGTAAATTGTAAAACCAGGACCTGAGTGTAGGACCCTGGAAATAACATGCTAACCACTACCCTGTATCTCTCCTCCTCCATCTAGCAGCTACAACTCCAGTTTTTCAGACATCTCCAGATATTCAATGTAGCATTTCCTATAATTAGTTTCACATAATAGCCTTCACAATAGCCTGAAAGCTGCATCTCCAAGGTCTGTTTCATTTAGAATCACCTCATCATTTCTTTTTGCTGTGATGTGAATGTTCCCACTAAAACTCATGTTGAACTTGGACTGCTGTTGTAAGATGTGGGAACTTTAAGGGGTGACCTTATAAATGAATTAATGTTGTGATTTGGGGAATGGTTTACTTATCATGGGCTTAGGCTCCTGATGAGAAGGTTGTGCTTGGCCTGACTTCTTTCTCTGTCTCATGTGTGTTCACTTGCCTTTTTGCCATGTTGTGACAAATCAGAGATGCTCTCATCACATGCCAGTACCATGCTCTTGGACATCCCAGCCTCCAGAACTATGAGCAAAATACACTTGGGATCCCCAACATGATAAAGGACATGAGCCCGGAGACACATGGCACCTGTTCCCTACACCAGGCACCAGCCCTGCAGCACTCCTCCCCCAACATGAGCAAGGACGGGAACAGGCAGAACCACACTGGACCCACAGTGCTCCTTCTCTGGACCTGCTGTGCCCCATCCCCAACACCAGCACACATGACACCAGCACTGCTCCCCACACAAGGGTGAGACCATCCACCAACTCCACATCAGCTCTACATTCTGCTTCCACTTGGCATGGAGCAGCAGAGGTGAGGACTGACCAAATGACTTGATCTTGGCAGACAACAGTGCCTGGGGGAAAGAAGGGAGCAAAATCAGACCCTATGACCATCAACATTAAGCCCAACAGTTCATTTGAGTGACTGCCCCCGTGGCTTACATTCAGCAGACATCAGAGGGCTGACTGCATTTCCCATCTACCCATGGGAGCAAGGACATGCATTGGTTTGGACAGTAACCACATTCTGGAGTGAATGGACAAAGAGGCCTCAGGTGCAGGGGCACCTTAAAAATCCACAGGCCCCAAAGCTAGGTGGACAAAGTCATGGCTATCTGGATCACAAGGTAGCAGATCTTGGGAAAAACTGCTCATGCAAAATCAGAATTTTTTTCTTTGACTCAATCTTTTTTTAAAGTTTTTCTATTTTTTCTTATTTTCAACTTTCTTTCAACAGATTTTCCAGGGGGTTGGGGTTGTTTTTCCTACCCCTTTTTCTCCTCTTTTAGTTTTTTGTCCCTCCTTTGATCTTTTCCCTTTTCCATTTTTTTCCTCTTCCTTTATACCTTTCATTTTCTGTACTTTGCTCTCTATTCAACATTTCTGCCCATTACAGAAATGCAAATTAAAATAACACTTAGATAACATCTTACTCCAGAAAGAATGGCTATCATCAAGACATCAAATGATAACAAATGCTGGTGAGACTGTGGTGGGGGAAGGGAAAGGAATCCTTCTACATTGTTGGTGGGAATTTACACCAGTACAACCACTATAGAGATCAGTATGCGGATTCTTCAAAAAGTTAAAGATAGAAATTCCATTCAGCCCAGCTATTCTCCTCCCAGGAATCTTCCCAAAAGAGTTAAAGTCATCATATTACAGTGGTCCATGCATACCCATGATTACAGCAACACAAATTAATAATAGCTAAGTCTTGGAAACAATCTATATCCCATCAGAAGATGAAGAGATAAAGAAAATGTGGTATTTATACACAATGGAGTACTACACTGCCATAAAGAAGAATACATTTGAGACATTTTTAGGTAAATGGATGCACCTCAAGACCATGTTAAGTGAAATAAATCAGACACATGAGTTTAAATATCACATTGTTTCTCTCCTGTGAGAAACTCAAAGGGTAAATAAGGAGCATAATGGAAGATAGATATTGGGAAGTAGGAAGAACATGTTCAACTGGTAAGGGAAACAAGGGAGAGGGGAGGGGGAAGATAAGGAAGGAAAAAGAAAAAAGACATAATGGAAGGGAAAAAATGGAAACAAAGGATGTGTAACTGTGGAGGGGAAGGAGGGTTGAAGGGAGTGGAGGGAAATGGGAAAAAAGAAGAATCAAGATATATCATGTACAGATACAAATTCCCTGTGATGAATGTGATTGATATGTATGACGAATATGTACTAATAAAAAAGAAAGTTACAAAAAAAAAGAAACACAAGCTTAAATATTACATGGTTTCTCTTATATGAGAAACCCAAAATATAAATAAAGACAAAATACAGGATAGGTAATGGGAAGTAGGGAGATCTTTTTCAAATGGGAAGGACAATAAGAGATAGAGAGTTGGTGAAGAAGGAAGACAACAGGGATTTTTTAAAGAATCTAAGAAAAAATGGAAACATCTCTTTCAAATGGAAGGGGATCAAGAGTTGGAGGGAGCAGGGAGGGATGGGAGGAGAAGGGAAGGAAAATGAATGAAGATATGCTATGCACATGTACAAACTTCCCACAATGAATGTAATTTTCATGTATTGCAAACAAGTGCTAATAAAAAATAATTGTGCACAAAAAATTAAAAATGTTAAAAATCTAAACATAGAAATTCCACTTAACCCAGTTATTCATTCCTCTTCTAGGTATCTTTGCAAAAAAGTTAGACATCATATCAGAGTGATGCATGTATGCCCATTTTTAAGCAGCATAATTCATAA